CACTGACAAAATAAAAATTACAGTATATCCAGTAAATAAAGAAGTAAAAAAAATTTATTACAACAAAAAAGTGGTTCTCAAACTTTTTCTAACCAGGTACCCATTCAATTACCAGATTATCAACTCAAGCAAGCAGAGACAATTAATTATCAGTGTTGTTGCATTAACACTAATTTAAGACAGTACGGTACAATGCTAGCTCTTATAATTGATATCATTATTTATTAAGCAATAATCATTAACAACATATTAAATATACAATGATACTACACTGGACATTGTAAAATTGTTGAAACTATGATGACTTAACTAAGCCAATAACCATTAGTACTAATTCAATATAGAATAGTACTGTAGTTGTTTATGTAAATCTGAAATGGTGTTTAATATATTAAACATTAACAGTCACATCATCACCCTCTCTGTTTTAACATCACCATGTAAACCACCATCGTAATATCACCACATAGTCATCATAAAAAAAACTCAGTCATACATGTCATCATTAGTTCAGTAGTCATGGTTGTAGGAAAAAGTCAAGTCTAAAGTTTAGTGCAAAGTGTGACTTTCTTGTGTCTTTTTACTGATCACCAGTAGTCACAGTGACTACCACTCATAAACATGAGTTTCTATAACATCACGACGATGCAGCTATAAACACTTAAACATTACATACCACATTGTCAAAAATTACTGAACACTTGTATATGTACCATGATATTGTTATAAACACCCATACTTTATGCTTTATCATAATTATTTAATGAAACATACCTCAATTATGTAGAGTTAGAGTATCATGTGCACTAGACTTGGAATGTCAGTTGCACCCAGCTGGCTATGCTCAACAAACTGATGACTTTAAAGGTCAACAAACGTTCCCCTTTTGATGTAATTTTTATCAAATATTTAATTTTTTGTTTGTAAATTTTGTATTGCCAATAAGAATAAAAATTTATTTTATAGTGGAAATTAACATCAAGCTGTTGTAATAGTTTGAACATTTAATTTTTTTTTTTTCTTTGCCGAATTTTTCATTTGGTTTGAAAACTTGTACTGGTATTTCAACTCTCCCGATGGCACCCCTCTCCTGGTTGTCATCAGAGCCAGCCCTCCTCCCCCCTTAGTATGGTACTGATTCCATGTAATGCATTTTGTGAAATTTGGCCCAAGTTCTGTGCTTTGGTTACCATAATTTGAACTATTTTTCGTTCATCAATGTGGTCAATTTAATCTACAAATGACTGATAACAGGTTGGAAAAGTTTTATTCTATTATGTTATTTTAAATGAGACTTTCTGCAAAATATCAGTTATAAAATTAATCTCCTCCATCTGAGTAAAACTTGACTTTCTTCAACATTAAAATAAAAATATTTTTTGCATATCAGCTTTAAGGACAGTAGAGATAAACAGTGACTTGTGTTACACTGTGTTTAAGAAATTTGTTTTATACAAAGAAATATATAGTTAACTGCATAGGTGACAAAGATATTGAAATTACAGAATAGGTTAAACAATAGCCAAGTTTCTTTATATTTTTATTTTAAGAGGATGACATTTTGAGCTAGCACTCTTTGTCAGGTTGTATGATCTGATGAAGAGTGCTCATCCTCTTAAAATAAGAATATGAAAAACTTGGCAATTGTTTAATCTATTCTATAATTTAAGAAATTTGTTTACAGGATATGTGGCAGGTTACATATCCTGACACTGAAATTTAGAGTATGTGCTCATTGCTTCTAAGAAGTGACTGACTTGTGTTGCTGTACCTGAAATATCTTAATATCAGTAACAATGTTAGTGTTTATGGAACATTAATATTAGTATTTAAAGAAATTATAATTTTTATAAAACCATACTAATGAATGTTTTTTATGGAATGGTAATGATGATAATTGTTTGTGTTTATAAAACAGTACATAAATACAGAGTTTGGTTCTTCTTGAAGGTGCACATGGTTCTGGTCTTTGCTGTGATCCAGATGTCGGCAATGAAGACGTGTTTATGGTGAGTCATGGGTACTTTTTGTTAGGTCATGGTTGAAATGCAGAGTAAACTACTAGTTCAACACTTACAATGACTTACACCTAACTTGATGATAATTGAAAATTAATTAAACCATACTAATGAATGTGTTTATGGAATGGTAATTGTTTGTGTTTGTGGAACAGTAATAATGTTACTATTTATAAAACAGTACATAAATACTGTTTATATTCGTTCACAGCTTCTAGCAGTCTCATTTTAAACACCATTCTTCTGTGGTAACTTGTTTTCAAACAGTTTTTAACAACAAGTATATATATATATATATATATACTATACACACACACACACACACACACACACACACACACACTATAGTAGAACTATACTACTAACGTAACTTAAACTACTTAATTTAATTTAATTACTTTATTTAGTAAACTTAAAACTTAAAATTTAGTTTTAGTACT